ACATGAAGCCCCTCTGTTAGTTTGCAGCATTTCTATTTCCTATCTTTTGGTTGTATACTGTATTCAGTTCTCTACACTTTGCTGCTTTTACTGTATGTGGTTTCTACTAGCAGCAAAAAGTACATGACTGTCCACTGTAGAAGAGAGACCCCTCCTCTGTTGCTCTTTGTGAAGTTTCTTCTGTTTTTCCCAGTGAAATGTTCCTTACCTGAACAACTGTACAGTCACATTAGTGCTCTCTCCAGTGAAACTGCACCACGTTGAGCCCCAAAAAAGGATGCAATTGGAATAAGTAACGTGTACCGCGCCCAGTGATCACAAACTGTAAACAATATATTGGTCAGAGCAGCGATGTGGTTTGTAGTCTGATAGTGTGACATTGTAAGAGCGTAAAAGCACACAGCAATAATAATGACATTTATTTTCAAAACACAATCCATTAGTGTTTCTGTTGGCTAACAGTCTGAACAAAAGGTTAAATACAACTTGGCTGCCTGCTGACTTAATATAAACTGTAAAGTTGCAAGCCATAACAGCAAAACAGTGAGTTGAAAGAAACTAAAAACCTCCACAGAGCTGGGTGGAACTGCTAAGTGGATATTCCTCTGTGTTGTCAATACAAGCGACCCTTTTCACATTATATGTTGTCATTTCAGCACAGCATTGTTAATATAAAAATATTAATAGCAAAGATTTATTTTCCTTGGCCAAAGCAGAACTATCAAAACATGACATCTATATTTTCTAGATCTACATGTGCAAAACAGTTGAGCAGGAATAATAAAAACATTGCTCCACTAACAAGGGGTCCATCATTGTCCATTTTCAGCTTGTTGTCCAGAGTCAGCTCACCATCCTAAGTCACAGCAGTTGGTAAAGCGTGGCAGGGCTGTATAGACTCTAACTATCCACATCAGTTTATGGGGCCATACGACTCAGTGCACCTAATATAGTTATCTATCATCTACACAGCTTTTTAACATAACCATTTTGAGCCCATTGTAACAACTTATTTTCCCCAAAGTAGACATGTTCCACATCACACAGTCTGAACTGGACCACTTAAATTTTAAGTAACCTCTGCCTACACATAACCTTTGATGCAGATGTAACTCACTTATTGAGAAAAGATGTAAGTGTAAAGACTGATCTGGTGATTTCAATAATCAATATCGAATTGCTCAAAGAGAAATCAAAGTGAATCAGAAAATCAATATTTTTATCCAGTCCTAATTGCAATGAATTACTGTTTTCACTGTGCTGGTGATGGATGAATTAAAATAGACCTGTATAAAAAGCTTTTACTTTCCCATGAGCACCTCTACTGCTGGTGCAAATAATAATGCCCTTCCCAAAATAGATCACTTTTACCCTTCAGGTGTCCACTTGTATTTTAAGCCTAGTGACACCATGCCATCCATCACACCCAGCTTTTCAGATGTGAGCAGCCCCAGGGAAAACACTGATATAATGCAGGCAAAGTGTGATGGCGTGCTGCTGCTGTGTAGTTAGGACCTCTATAATTAGATTACCACTAATTTCATCTCGGAGTAGCATTTTTACATTTTCTTTCTCTGAGCAAAGTGGAAGTCGCTTGTCTATTTAAGGTAAACATTGAAAATGGATGCTCTGCCTTTCCAACTGTTCCCTCAGATTTCCACTTGACATGGCCAAACATCACTCCGCATTATTGTCTGCCAGGAAAAAGGCATTTCTAAATGCTTTATTGAATGTTTTGGCTGGATGGAAATTGTACGAAGTGTACTCAGTGCTTTGATCATCTTGACCTGGAAATGTGATAGTCACCCCACTTCACAGGGCACTCTGACACCTGGGAAACTGGATCTTGTATTCTTTATACATGATCTGCACTGCAGCACTAAAGACTTAACTTCTCCTCTTTCGTAGGCAACAGAGACTACTGATGGGAAGTGGAATTTCACATGGCTCAGACTGAGGCTTTTTCTTTCCCTCCACAAGCCACAAAAGTCACAACATTTGCAGGAAAAATCCTCTGTTTGATTTTTATGAACAAGATTCCTGTAGCATTACTTAGACTTCAACACAGAAAGATTTTTAAAATGTTTTTTACATTTTTTTTTTTGTTGTGCATCAAAGCTTATCATTATTGACAGATTGTAGAACACTGCATGTGAATGTGTTCACCGAATGACAGATGTAGACTTAAGGTTCCTTGAATCGTCAATTAGATGTTTGTTGCTGTGGTTGTTTTTGTAGAATTTGATTCATTTTTTAGTTAGTTTACAAGGTTTGTGTTTATAGCACAGTTAGGGCAAAGATCATTAAAAAATTATACCTCTTATGAAGTGAAACGGAAACCCTTAGAGTGTGATTGTTGTTTAGGGCTGCAAACTAAATCGCTGGCTAGACTAAATGTGTTGTTCTTTCTCAGCTACACAATGCCCCAGATTTCTAGTGGTGTTGCATCATAAAGATTATTGTGTTATTGTTTTGATGCTTGTCGGTCTTGTCTATTTTAACATTTTCAGACCATTCTCGTTGTAACATTGGATTTGAATGTTTTTCAGATCCAGATTACATGAATTAAAGGGATGTGAGTGATCAAACAAGAATGAGGTATTATAGTATGAGATATTTTAGTATTACATAAATTACATAAGTCACCTCAGAATGTATTCAGACCCATTTATTTCTTCACACTGTATTCTGTTATATTTCATTTTTGCAGTTTATCCCTTTCTTCCTGCCAGACCCTCTCAAGCTCCATCAGACTGGATGGGGAAGTGTGTATGACCTGCCTTCTCCATGTCTCTCCACAGATGTTTTATGGGGTTTAAGTCTGTTTGGTTTTTGGTGACCTTCCTGACAAAGCCCCTTCTTTCCTGGTTAATCAATTTGACCAGTCGACTAACTCTAGGAAGAGTCCATGTGGTTCCAAACGTCTTCCATTTCACACTTATTGAGTCCACTGTGCTTCTGGGAACACTGAAAGCTTTAGAAATGTTTTATACTCTTGCCCTGATCAATACCTCACCACAGCTTTATCACATAAGTTTCTTGGATGTCATTGCTTGGTTTATGTCCTGACATGCAGTGTGAATCGCTGGACCGTATATACACAGGTGTGAACTTCTTTAAAGTATGTCCAGTCAGTTCAGTTGCCACAGGTGGACCCCAGTCAAGTTCTAGACACATCTCAAGGATAAGTAAAGCAAACAAGATGCACCTGGCCTGTTTGATTTATGTGTGTATGTATTTGGAGGGTGTCACGTAGCCAGTTTGTAATTTGGTCATAAACAACAGAATCTCTTGCCGTACCTTAAGTTTGTCTGATGATTCTGGCTCTTAATGAAACTCTGCTTGTCTGCAGTTAGATATTTTTGTTGCCGTCTTCATTGTAAATGACCGTTTTTCTTTGCCATCGGATGTTTGTTCTCTTCTGGTTTTGCACCAGTCATATACTAGAACATCATCAACACGGCCACTACCTCGGTGTGAATACTATAAGCTGCTGTATTCTCACATGGGTCCACTTGAATGTTATGCAGACTTTGTCCTAGGGAGCTGGCAGGGTAAAGACCACTTGAGGTCCAGGTTAACTGAATCAGACATTTGCGTTCTCACATATAGTTCCAATATGAAAAGGGCTTTAATGTTTTACTGTACTGAGTTCATAGCAATTTAATGTGATGGCGCTGGCAGTGGTAGTGAGGTTGGTAGTAAATTACACTGAGCATTGTGTGATTAGAGAAGCTGTGCATGGCTGTTAAAGTTCACCACCCCTCAGGATATTTGATCGAGCTTCCGGCCTTTGATCATTGTTAACATCGCAGTAACCATGACAGTATATTTTCAACTACCAAAAAAGACCATTTGTGTCAGAAAACAATCTCCCCTTCCTCTGACACATTGGCACGCCGCAAAAGAAAAATGTCAGGGTCAGTGATTGGCCATTAGCCCAGAGTGAGTTCCTTTTGTGCTCCCAGACCCATTGAAAACACCTTTTTAGCCTTCAACAGATGGTACAGTGACATTGCAACCACAGGCGCTGACCTGGATCTTTACTTAAAGATATTAAAAAGAAAGAAAGTAGGATGTACAGCATTGTAGGAGAATGAGAATGGCAACCTGGAGTGTGAATCATACCATGAATATGCACATCTGTATTGTAATACCTTGTACATTTGATTGACTACACAGTCACCCTCTATTCATCTGCATTATTCTTTTTCTTAGAAGTTGTTCCTTCACTGCTGCAAATGTCATAGTGCTTTAATGAGAACTGCGGTGTAGCCCACAATGGGAGCTTTTCAGCCAGATTAAATGTATCACTGTGCTGAAACTTTCCTTTGCTCTCTTCCCCCTCTTTGGCCTATTGTGACACAGTGGTTTTACAGAGCAGCTTGTTGCTGAAAAACAAGGTTAAGAAGATCAGTATCAAAGGAGGATTGTTTTTGTGTGGCTTGCAGGAGAGTCTCGCTTCAGGTTTCCTCCTGAAACACAGAGGTGTTTTCTTACCTGATTTGTATTCATTCACACAATGAGTGGGCCAGCCTCTCTTGTTTCCAAGTAAGGAGAGTCCAGACAAGACTTTTGTTCGCTCTATCACTGGATATGTGCATGTTGCTTCTTCCAGTACGAGCCTTGGAGCCTAGCCACAGGCTTTGTCTTGCTCTGTGTATGTTCTAAGAAACTATTTCAGATAAAGGTTTTGAGCACTAACACTGCTTTTTTCCCTTTCTGGTTCCTGTGTTATTTCAGTAATACCAAGGCTTGTCACCCTAAAATTGCCTGTTAGTATCCAAAACCCACAAATTAGCAGTGTTTCAGTCCATAGGAGCCGGTAGTTAAGTCCATTCTGGCCCATTTTTTCTGTCAAAACACAAAACATGCTGCCTGTGGCGTGGTTGAAGATTAATTGTTTGATTAATCTGTTTGATATAGTAGTGGTCAGTCAAACTGCTGAAAACATGATGCAAGCATTGTCTGAGTAATGCATATTATTTTCTTGTTTGTAGGGTTTTTTCCTGACTGTCTCCCCGGAGTCGATCTTGAAGGTGGCGAAGCACGCTTCAGATAACAACAAAATCTTCTCCATGAACCTCTCAGCACCTTTCATCAGCCAGTTTTTTTACGAGCCATTGATGAAGGTCATGCCTTATGTTGACATCTTGTTTGGCAACGAGACGGTGAGTGAAACAAGGCGTTTAGGCCTCTTTAGGACAGATATTCTGTTTGTCAGCACATTGTTCTGATTAATGTCTGATGTGTTTTGCGTGTATATTTACCTCACAAAAGAGGTTGTTTTTGGTCATTTTTGCCAGTTTGTATGTTTTTATTTATTTACTTATTTAGTAGAATGGTATAAAAATATTTTGGTAACATTTTAGACCATGGACTTGGCATGCGAACATTAGCTTTTCACTGCTTGTATTATTCCTCCTTAAACAAATCTTTACCAGTCTTTGAATACCCGACCCCTGTTCTTTGTGGTTTTCCTGTCGATTTCAGAATTTCTGTAGACTTGTTTGATGTAAATTGAAATAGATTTTTGAATATCTTTAGGTGGCACAACAGAAACATGATTCATTTATTAACTGGCTGTGATTCAGTGATCATGTTAGTGTGAACATTAGCACCGTTCATCCTGATACAAGCCCAGATATTTCCTGTCAGGGTTTAGGTTTTCTCCAAAAGAAAAAACAAATCAAGTCTGCCATCAGCTAAGTGGCATTTAACTTGTGTGTGATGTTGAACCAAGAATTTGATGCAGACGTTGACTAAAAATAAAATACAAAGGACTGTGCCGTCCTGGCGAAGGCACTCACTCGCTCTCTGAGTGCTTTTTAGTTTAACACCATAACTCTCACCTTGTTTAAAGCTAAATTAACCAGCTCCACTGTTTCACTCCACTCATTTCTCTTCAGTATCGGTTTAACTTCTCACTTATCACTGTCCCATAAAGAGATGAATTAGTCCAGCAATCATTCATCTTAATTGCATCACCATTTCATGCCAGTTGATCTATTGATTTTTCTTGGTTCTGTGGAAGTGAGTAGCTGGTTGGAGGTCAGACTGTGGTCACTACTGCACGCATTGAAAGCATCCTCTAACAGACCAGCTGAACTTGACTTGGATGTACTGCCTGGATAAACTGCCCCTTTAGGGAGGGAGGAGGGGAGTGGGTGATCAATGGACTGAACTTGCCTCCCAACTGCTAAAGCTACTAAACAGAGTCCTGTGATTGGGTTAGAGGTGAGGTCCACAGACAGGACAGAAGTGGAAGAAACTGCTCAGTATTTGAGGATTTATTGCTCTTGCTGACTTCAGCTCTTTCTTCCTGTCTTTCCTCTCCCAACATAAGACCTCCCTTTTACATATGCACCTCTCTCTCACTCTGTAATTGCTGTGAGGAATGATTCTGTTTCTTAAACCACAGTGTACATTTTGTAAGTCTTATGTATTTTAAGGTAGGTGGTACTGTACCTGTTTGCATAAGAAGTTTGTTCACATCTGTAGTTATTAGAGTTTAATGACTCTGGATAATGGCAATGTATGTTTGTTGAAGGAGATTATCATTTGGAGGCGGTCTGGGCTTGCTCTCTCAAATTGAACTTGTCTAAGACTGCCAAAGTAAGAGATTCACTCACATACAGAGCAGATATTCACCACTCAAGCAGAGAGGTCTATATCGAACTAATGTCTGTCCGGAGTGTTTGGACTCCTTTTGGCCTTCCTCTGTGTTGGCTGCTGTGATGAGGGAGTGGGGAATGACTGCTCATACAGTCAAGCCCCAGACCTCCCACTGTGCACAAGCCAGACAAGGTTGGCGGTCATGCAGTGGTGCATGGTGAGTGACAAGCAACAGGGCGGTCTCGCACACACTCACCCCCACCAGCCCCCCCTGGCCCTGCTCTCGCCTGAGCTTCCATCCCCCAAAGTGATGGATCATAACAATTCAGTGACAGTCAGGATCATGCAGTCTGACTCCTATAGCCTCACAGAATGTGCCATAAGGGAAGGCTAATGTGTCTGTCTGCCTTTGCCTTCCTCTCCCACACTTACTGAGTCACGATACAGAGCACCATACACTTGGGGGAATATGTTTTATGCAGCTATAAGAGCTCATATTTTGAAAGCAACTAATATTAATTTTGGCCAAGGTTGAAGTTTTTGAGAATCGAGCGCTGCATTATTTGTCATGAGTGGGATCCATTCCCATTTGATCATTTGAAATTCCATAAAGCAATATCACAGACTCCAAAATATGTCAGTAACCTTCTTCTCTTGCTTCTGCCTGCTTCTGATGTTGAAATGTGTCTGTGTTTCTGACTGGGTAATTCTGCTGTAACTCGATCCTGCTGGTACTTGTTTGAAACCTGGCATCAGCAGGCCCTGCTTGGTCTATCGGCAGCCTCGCGCTTATATAACAGTCTTCCATCCATCCTGTAATTACTGCCTTTTTGGGGCATAGTGTAGTGTCTGTTCCTTCAATGGAGGAGGGATGGAGAGGCTAGTGACTCTGTTTCTGCGTTGCCAGGGCCTCTGAGATGGTGCCGACAGAGGCACATAGACATCAGACACTACTTCACTTAATTGGCAAACATGTCTTGTGATAACCTGGGAACAGCACAGACCTAATTGAGTCCTCCTGTGCTGTCCTCCTCTGACTACCTGACATGGAACCCAGGGCATTACATTTCCCTCCATTTAATGACTGCAGTTAATTAGGCTCGAATGGGGGAATCATTACCACTGGAAAAACCACATGCTAGTGGATTTGACCGATAAAATTAGCCACAATTTGCTTTTGCTATTTGGGCATAAGAGATAAACCACACAATGGGGGGAGTAAGGATTGGGCCATTACTGGCGGATTTGTAATGTGGAATTTTAGACATATTATAGACAAATGGAACGATTAATCAAGACTGAATTAATGACCCTAACTGATGATGTTTTTTAAGCCAGGATTCGTGGCTTTTTCAGTTCAGATCATTTTATGTGTAAAAGGTTTAAAAGTGTGCTTCCTTTATAAAACAGTAAGGCGGATGAGGAGCTTTTTTGCCCCACAGCCAATACCCAACAACGTCCTCATTCCTCTGCCATTAACATTATATACCATCCCCATACAGGGGCTCCACATGACTTCCATTGCTGTCCAATGCATTCTGAAGCTCCACACTCAGAGGGAGCTTATTTATATGGGTCCCAGGCCTGTCTTCCAAATGAGAGAAAGCCATTGTAATTGAATACTCAATAGGTGAGCCATTTAACAAAAGTGGAAATGGCATTCAACTATGTATTAATGTGCTTTACTGAGGGAAAAGGAGCCATCATCATTTCAATGTTCAAGCTGTTTTAAAAGAGCATTTAGCCTGCCATCTCTCCAGGCCGTGAGAGCAAAATGACACGGATTTCTTCCTCCTCTGTATTTTGTGTGAATGTTCCTCGCCTAATATTTTGTATGGTTATCGCACTTATTTTCCCATCCATCCCTCAGCACCTCTCCGTGATCTAGGTGGAGGGATACAACAGCTCTACAGAAGGTTATTGTCATGAAAAGCCCCTCAGGCGTTTTGGCTCTCAGCCCTGGATTTCTCCGTCTGCATGCAATGAGTGCGTGAGTGTGCACGTGTGTGTGTGTGTGTGGTAATGGTGGGGGCTCTAATGATTTTTCCAGGACAAGCTGAAGTGGGTGTACGTGTGTGTGTGTGTGTGTGTGCATGGAAAAAAGGGCAGGCAGAGGAGATACATGGGCAATATGGCATCATTTCTTAACATCTCTCCAGATTTGTCATCTGGCTTTGTCTGTTTGATAGGCTGCTTAGAATCCTTATTTCTTTGGTGAGGTCTAGCTGTTTATCGCCTCTGTGGCATGTGCAGGACCGTGGAAGTGGAAGCTCTCTACTGTCAGCATGTGTGGGTGATGGCAAGCTCACTAAAGACCTCTTAGGGTATGAGGGGTGTTCTCAAAAAAACTAATAAATAAATACATGAATGAATGAATTAATACTAATAATAATAGGAGAAGAATTTTCCCTTGACAGTTCAACCACATTGGACTCGAGATGTTTCTCAATGGTAGCTTGGGGAAAATATCCCATCTCTCTGCCTAAAACAAAGAGATGTGAAAGCCAGATTAGCGTATTACAGAAACAGCTCTTCCTCTTAGGCTCCTTTCTTTCTACTCCTGTCAGAGCTGTCTGCAGAGAACAGGGAAGAACATGAGACATTAACCTCCATGTGTTTATTCACAAGGCCCCACAGGCCAACTGGGAGGATGAACACAGAACCATCTCTAAAGCCGGCGAAGCGGAACAATCACAGAGTGTCACTGGAGGAAAAGACATGAAGTATTAGCTGCTGTTCTCCTTTGTGTCTTTCACAACTGAATTTTAATTGAATGTGCTGTTTCTGTGATGAGTCACACGCTTTCTGCTCAGTGCCAGAGTACTTTAACCTTCAGTGTGATGTACAGTCAGTAAGTTATATGATGAGTCACAGTGCACATCAGCTGTGATGTAAATAGAAAAGCTACTTTTTTCTATTTCTTTTATTATATTTTGTTGTCCATAAGCCAAAAAGGTTGGGAACCGCTTTACTTGTTCATGTGAGGTGTCTTGCAACTGCTACAATTAAACCATCCCTTTCCAAACAGCCTTTTCATGAGAGGATTCAGTACAGAAGAGGAATGATCTCTCTGACATTCTTCTGTTTTTCCTGGCCTGTCTGTTTGCGAGTTATGGTACTCTGGGAGCCAGCATGGCTCCACCAGAGGAGTCCAACTAACCACTGTAATTGTGCCACGCTGAAGCCGCCTTCCTCAGCCCTGGGATTGAACCATGAAATATTTGAAAATGCTGGGGTTAAGAAAGGGGGGTGTTTGGCAGTGCAATGTGAAATGTGAGACCTCAGAGCATCTTTAACAAGGAAGCGGATAGAGAGGCAGCCAGTTGGGCAACCAGGACACACAGTGGAGTCCTGTGAAGGAGAATAATTATGGATATAAGAGATATTATGCTGGAAGCAGATCACTAGTGCCCTCGTTCTGCTGGTGCTGAGGCCGGTGTATTTCTGTCACAGCAGGAGAGAGTGCAGTATATCAGCTTGTTGCTAAAGGGACTTGCAGAAGTTTGAACTCAGGGCCTCTGAGATACCCTTACAAACCTCATGTGTATCCTCCCTC